CGCAGGTGCAGTCTGCCACGGGGAAGAAGGCGAGCTCGCGGCAAGTTCACTCCACCGCGTTTCTTGCGCTTGTGGCGCGCGACTTTTACGTCCAGCACGCCACGACAGAGGAGGACCCCTCACGAAAGTTCATTGCGTCGACAGCATCAGCGACCACGGGACGTGCGCAGTCGTTGCACACCCCAACACTGACCGCTGATCAGGGTGTTGGTGACCTGTTGCCACCGCTCGCCGCAAGCGATGCAGCACTTCTGCCGGCAACGGGCATGGTTGCCGCTGCCACCGCTCAGCAGCAGCAGCAGCAGCAACAACAACAACAACAACAACAACAACAACAACAACAACAACAACAACAACAACAACAACAACAACAACAACTACAACAACAACAACAACAACAACAACAACAACAACAACAACAACAACAACAACAACAACAAGTACAACAATTACAGCAGCGGCAGTTTGATGTGGCGCTTGCACGTGACATGGTTGCGTTGTATCCGATTCGATCCAGAGCAACCAGACGCCTCCCAGCACGCGTGCTCTCCTCGTATCTTGAGCGCGTGCATGGCGTGCATGTGAAGGCGAGACAGGCCGCATATGTCATCGACAGGTTGAACGAGATGGTGTATGGCTCCCAATTCGCGCAGCTGCGCTCGCTCCGCCGCGTGGTTCTACACAGCGACCCCGGGGCAACATTTGTATTAGAGACAGAGCCGCATGCAAGCCCAGCGGCCGCAACCGCACAGCAGGCGAAGAGAAGGAAGGAGGAGAAGGGAACGAAAGAAGAGATGGCTGCCACTACAGGCAGTGGCCCCGAAACCCAGCATGCAACACCAAAGCAGCCCGGGCAGCAGGAAGAGGCCGTGCAACCAGGTCAACAACAACAACAACAACAACAACAGCAACAACAACAACAACAACAACAACAACAACAACAACAACAACAACAACAACAACAACAACAACAACAACAACAACAACAACAACAACAACAACACCACTTTTCTCGTTTGTTTGTGGCATACACGCCCGCAAAAGCGTTCACGTGCATCGACGAGCAAGTGATTGCGCTCACGTCAGTGCCGCGCTCCACCCCATATGAAGGGGAGGTGTTGCTTGCCATTGGATATGACGCAGCGTCGGCACCCCTCGTTCTCGCGTACGCAATTGTGAAGGGCCAGCAGCAAGATGGCGATGATGGCGCCAAAGCTTCGCGCACAAGCTGTCATGCACAACAGCACACGCACAAGCAAAAACAGCAGCAGCAACAGCAAACAGAAAAACACACCGGGTCCCAGCAAGATCAGCAAGAACAAACGTCACAACAACAACAGCAGCAGCAGCAGCAGCAGCAGCAGCAGCAGCAGCAACAGCAGCAGCAGCAACAACAACAGCAACAACAACAACAACAACAACAACAACAACAACAACAACAACAACAACAACAACAACAACAACAACAGCAGCAGCAGTGGTCGTGGTTCTGCGAGCAGCTTGCTCGGCACCTGCCGCACTTGGTGTCTGGTGACGCCGCCCAACACGTTGTCATTCTCTCCTCGCACACGCCAGCGTTGCAAGAAGCGGTGTCCACACACCTGCCACTGGCACACCATGGCATGTGCGTTGACCGGTTCTGTGCGAGCATTGCTGCGCGCACAGGCTTCAAGGGTGTGTGGCAGCACGTAACGCAGGCAGCCATGGCATGCAACCGCCTGGCGTTTGAGTCGTGTTCATACGCGCTGCTGCAGGACAACAGGCACGCACGGGCAGGCCTCAACGACACAGACACGCGCACGTGGGCAACCATGTCATTTCCCCATCGCCGCTTTGGTGTTGTGCGCTCACGCGTGTCAGCAACACTTGCCTCGCTGCTCACACGCATCCAACGTCTGCCTGTCGTCGATGCCATGATTGCCATTCACAACTGGCTGCATGACACCCTGGCCTTGCGGCGCCTTGCTGTGCAGCACAAGCGTCTGGGTGATGATGCCATTGCCAACAGTCTGCTTGACAGTGACGTTGGTGATGGTGAGGGTAGAGGCGGTGATGGTGGTGAGGGCGGGCCGGTGTCGCAAGTGATGTTGCAAACCCCGACAGCACCATCACTGTCATCATCATCAACAACAGCAGCGGCAGCAGCGGGTGTGCAGTCGTCATCGCTGTTGACGTCGTCGTTCTCGACAGCAACACCAGCACCACCGCTAACAACAGCAACAGCAACAGCAGCAACACCACGCGGCGGCCTTCCGCCAGCTGTTCCCTCCTCCTCCTCCACAACAACAACAACAACAACAACAGCAACGCCGACAGGGGGAATACCAGCAGCAACAGCCGTGCCACATGTTGGAGTAGCAGCAGATGAGGCACGCTCAACCGCACCACCACCGCCGCCGCCACCGCCACACGCAGCCCTGTCCGCATCCCACACCACGACGGCCGCATCAACCATCGCGTCGCACGTTGCCATGGACCTCTCACGACAGGCACATGCGTCGTACGCGTGTGTGAATCCAACAGGAGCAGTGGCACCACTGTCCACACATCCAGAGGCGACCGCAGCATCCATGTTGCCGCCTCCCACCACGTTTGCACCGACGGGGACACACAGCCTCATGCACGCACATATGCACATGCACCCGCCCGCGTACGCACACATGCAGCCGCTCGCCCACACGCACGCACACATGTACACGGGTGCGCCGTCCGTGGCGCCAACATCGACAGCTGCGTCCACTACTCCCGCCACCCTGTCAACAGCCGCTACAGCGCCACCGCCTGACACGTCGGCATTCGTCTCTCCACAGCCATCCCAAGTGTGGCTGCCAGGCGCAGTGGAACGGCTGCAGACGAACATGAGCCATGCTGCCATGCTGGATGTTGTGCTGCTTGATATGTCATGCGCACGTGTGAATGGGTTTGAAGTGGCACTGCACCCGCCATCGTGCACGTGTGGCGAGTGGACAGAGTATGGGATTCCCTGTGCACATGCGTGCGCACTTGCCCGGACACAGGGCATTGATCCACAATCGCTCGTTTCCCATCGACACACCTGGGATGTGTTGGCACGGCAGTATGCACACGCCCTCGCCCCCCTCGCTCCTGTTTCTCATGCTGCGGCAGCAACAACACCAACACCAACGCCAACACCAACACCAACACCAACAGAAACGACCACGACAGCCGCGCGTAGCGGCGGTGTGGCTGCGCAGCAGCAGCCAACCGCAGCCACAACGATGGTTGGTGCTTCCACCGCCGCCACTGGTAGCGGCGATAGCAGGGGCAGTGGGGAGAAGGCCACACAGGAGCGAGCACACGTCGCCGCGGATGCACAAGAGGGCGCACCGATGGGTATTGAGCAGGTGCAACAGCAGCAAGAGCACCAGGAGCACCAGGAACGGGAGCATGGGCTTACGAGTGCTGCCATCACGGCACAACAACAGCAAGAGCAACAAGAGCCGCCAAAGGTGCCACCTCCAGCGGCGGTGACGCGGATGGATCTCCATCTCACAAGTGATGGCCTGCTGCCGCCGCCCCACACCAAGCGGCGCGGGCGCCCGCCAACTGTTCGCATCCCCCCAACGTCCACATCACCCAGCATCGGCGGTGGCGGCGGCGGTGGTGGTGGACGGAAGGGTGCACGGTTGCGTGGTCGCAAAGCAGCATTGCTCGCAATACCGCCCCTGCTGCTGTCGTCAGCGACTGTCAAGTGCTCGTCGTGTGGCGAATGTGGACACAACAAGCGATCGTGCAGGAGTTGATGGTGTCATGTCATGGTGTTGTGTAACGTTGCGTGATTTGGTGTGGTGTGGCAGGAAGTGGAGAGCGTGTGTGTTTTCGTGTGTGTGTGTGTGTGTGTGTGTGTGTGTGTGTGTGTGTGTGTGTGTGTGTGTGTGTGTGTGTGTGTGTGTGTGTGTCTTTCTGTCTGTCTTTCTGTCTGTCTTTCTGTCTGTCTTTATCTCCGTCTCTCTCCCCCACGTGCTTGGTGTCGGGTATGCGTCGTTGCGACTTGTAAAAGACGTGTAATCAAACGGAAATGCAACAGCAAATTACCACACGCTGTCACACGACAGCACGCAATGCAACAACCGTGAACCAACTCAACAGATACAAAACGCAAAGCTGAACCAGACACCAGCCAGCTTGGAAGAAAAAACGAGTGCTGGGAAAGGAGAGAAAGATTGAAACGCGCATGACGGTGTGAATGTGTGGATGTGTGAATGCGTGTGCGTGCGTGCGGCAGGGCCGTCGGCATGATTGAGCGGCATGGGCGTTGAAAGTGCCGCCACCACCACGCCGTCACACGCCATCAACGCATGTTCAGTCCGTCACAGCATCACTTGCGGGCCATAAACACCTCAAACTCGTCCTGTTCCGGCGACGGCTCAAAGTCCGCAGGGGGCGCCTGCAGGTGGCGTGATGGATACATGGATGGATGGATTGGGGGGTTGGACAAGGAGCGTGAACGCATGCGCGTGGAATAGTCAAGCCGAGCAGGTCGAGGGGAGGCGGACAGCAACACAACGCCGAAAGTAAACACAATCACAATCACACACACACACACACAAACACACACACAAACACAATCACACACACACACACACACACACACACACACAATCACACACACACACCACCAATATCACCAAGATCGCACCTCCTTTGCGGGGAGAATGGCGACGTCTGCACGGACGAGCTGGGCCACGTCAACAGCATACTCCTCGCACACGGCCGTCGTGGCGGCGGTGGTGCCGCGAATGAGGAGTTTCGGGCGGGCAGAAGGGGCGTGCAGCGACGACTTGAGCGAGCGCGCGCGACCGACAATGGCCTGGCACGCAACGGTGATAGATGGTGGTGGTGTTGTTGATGGGTGGTGGTGTTGTTGATGGGTGGTGTTTGTCCAACGCGGGGTTGCGAAGGTGAGAATAAGAGAAAACATGTGCTGTGGCGTGCACAAAATTACACATGTGCACAAAGCACAAGTACTTGTGCGCGCAAATAACGAGTGCACGCGCCATGAGCAACAGCAGTTAGTGTGTGTGTGTGTGTGTGTGTGTGTGTGTGTGTGTGTGCGGCTCACGTGAAGAATGGCAATCTTCTTCTCAATGTCCTCGTTGATGTGGAGGGGGGTGTACGGGTATGCGGCGACACACACGGACGCCGGCACCACGAGGTCGTTTGTTGCCTTTCGGCGGGGGAGACGCTGCCACAGCTCCTCGCACAGGAACGGCATGAAGATGGACAGCAGCCTGTGCACACATGCACGTGTGTGTGCGTGTGTGTATGTATGTATGCATGAATATGTGTATGTATGTATGTATGTGCGTTCGTATGTATGTGAAAATGTGTATGCGTGTGTGCGTATGTGTGTTGATGCGTGTGTGGCTGATTCCACAACCACAGCTGCCATGGAAGCTCAAGTGACAGTACAACACCCTCCTAACACCAACGTTAACACCAACAACGCCAACATGGGTGCTGGGCTCACCTGAGGCCAGACTCGGCGACCGTGTACATGACGTTCTGCACGGTGTTGCGGCGGTGCTTGTACTGGTCGTCCTGGAACACAGGCTGTGTAGCACGGCGAATGCAAGGAAGAATGAGTGAATGAGTGTGTGCGTGAGTGAGTGAGTGCGTGCGTGCGTGCATGTGTGTGTGTGTGTGTGTTCACTTGTTGGTTTCACGGCAAGAGATCACGACCACGCCCCTCCCTGCCCCAGAATCACCATTCTCTCCTCACCTTGACAACTTCGAGGTAAAAGTTGCAGAATTCGTACAGCCAGAGGTTGTAGATGGAGGTAGTGCTGCCCACAAGATCATACTCCTCCAGTTGCTGTTGTTTGTGAACGTCACGCACACACACGCACACATGTCAGACACACGAAAAGAGTGAAACAAACACATTGGGAAGCGGTTGTGTATGTGTAGTTGTGTGCACTCTACCACGCCAGCAGCATCCCATCGATTCATCATGCGATACAACATACACATACACACACATACACTCGCACACACACATACACTCGCACACACACATACACACACTCTAAGAGCGTGTCACCTTGTTCATGTCGCGGATGCATGTGGAGAGACGGCTCAGCATCCACAGGTCCAGCTCGCTCTCGTCCCCTGCAGGCATTCAGCCACCCGCGATGGGGCAGGACGTGAGCCACGTGCATGACAGCGGAGGGGGAGCAACGCGTGCAGTGCAATCAATACACGTGTGTGTGTGTGTGCGTGCGTGTTTGCAAGTGTGTGCAGTTGGAAGCCATGTGCAGTTGGAAGCTGTGCTTGTTTGCTAGTGTCTTCTCTCCACTCAACACAACCCCACCAGCCCATGGAATCACCCCACCACCATCTGTCATTCAACCAACGCACCAAGGAGCTTGCCATACTCTGCCGGCTTGAAGTCGGGCCCAAGCTTGGACATGACAAGCTTCACGCCATTGTACACCTGATGAACAAACACACACACACATGTGCACAAGCAAAAAAAAAATTCAGGCGAGGGTGAGCGACAAGCAGCAAAGCGGGAATGGAATGGGGCAAAGCGTGCTGATGTCGTTCTTGTGCTTGAGTTTGAGAGCATAAAAGCGTGTGTACGGCTCTGCGTGCGTGTTCGTGCACGTACACATGTGCATGAGCGACAGGGACGAGCAAGCAAGCGAGCAAGCGAGTGAGCAAGCAACCGAGTGAGCGAGTGCTGACCTTGTTGCAGAATGTGCGGTACCCAAAGATGCGGTTGACATCGAGGTTGATGTCGCGGCCGGGCGTCACCAGCGCACACAGCGTGAACCGCAGCGCATCCACACCGCACTCCTGTTGGGCCGTCGTCAAGTGGTGGCGGTGGTGGAGAATTGTGGTGTGTCAATCAACACATACACGCATGCACATCAAACGAACGTGGCCGCAAGGCAAACAATCGCATCAAACATGCATGTGCACCCATGCAAACACATACAGCCAGGCACACCACTCTTCCTCCTCGTTCATACTCACTCACTCACTCACACAACCCCAACACCCCTCGGCACGAACCTTGATGCCCTGTGGGAACTGGCGCTTCTGCAGCTCCTTTGCGCGCTCAATTTCGCGCGGGTCGAGGTTGCCCTGTGCGAGGCGCTCGTGAAGACCTTCAAGGGTGATGCCCGTGCACACGTCGGTTGGGTCAATGACATTGCCGCGCGATTTGGACATCTTCACGCCCTCCTTGTCCCGGATAATCGGGTGCAGGTACACATCCTGATGGTGATGATGAGGCAGCGGAGATGGCGATGACGAGACGGTGGTGGTGGTGGTGGTGATGATGATAATGAGATCGCAGAGAGAGTGCCAGGGTGGTGGTTACGAAACACCACGCAAGCAACCAAACACAAGCAAAACACCCCCCCCTCTTGGTTCTCTCCCCCCCCCCATGTCAAAGCACGCCTCCCTGCTTCCAAAAACACCTGCACTCGACGCCACCCCGCACCTTGAATGGAAGCTTGCCCGTGAGATAGGTGCACATCATGACCATGCGCGCAACCCAGAAGAAGAGAATGTCGTAGCCGGTCTCCAGCAGGTCGCCCGGGTAGAACTTTTGCAAGTCAGGCGTGTTATCCGGCCAGCCAAAGATGGAGATGGGGAAGATGCCAGAGCTGAACCACGTGTCAAGCACATCCTCGTCCTGGGTGAGCGTGATCTTGCTTGGGTCGACGCCAAACCGCTTTGCAGCCTTGGCGCGGGCCTCATCCTCGTCGTGGCCGGACACCCAGTACTTGTTGTCGTCAGAGGTGCCCTGCAGGCGACGCGGGGAGGCGATTGGGGATGGGAAAGAGGTATTGGGTGTTGGAAGGGAGACGGAAGGGTGAGGCAAAGAGGACGGAAAGCACACGCACACACAGTTGCAACAAAACAATCATTCCAACGAGCACCCCACATGTACATACACGTGCAGACACCACCACCACCACCACCACCACCACCACCACCACCACAGCAGCAGCAACAACAACAACAATACGCACTCCGCGCCCACCTTTGGCACAGCATCGTCGTTGACGGAGACAAAGTATGCGGGAATGCGGTGGCCCCACCAGAGCTGGCGGGAGATGCACCAGTCGCGTGGGGACTCGAGCCAGTGGAACCACGTCTTCTCCTGGTTCGCCGGGATCAGCCGCAGCTCTCCTGATCATTGCACACGGTCATCGATTAAGAAGAGGGGGGGGGGTCAGGGACGTGCTGTGCTCACTTGTGGGAGGAGGTTCGTGTTTGGACGTGGCGCAACAACAGAGCAACCATACAACAGCAATTACGCATGCCCCACACCACCACAGCCACGCACCACCACAAAATCAATTCCCCCTCCCGCCCTTTTAACACCACCGCGTGCGAGCGCACCGCTCTTGACGGCGTCGACGGCGGTCTTGGCCATGCCGTCGCAGTTGACAAACCACTGCGTCTCGAGCAGCGGTTCGCAGATGTCCGAGGAGCGGGAGCAGCGTGGGATCACCATTGGGTTCTCGGCGTCGCCGCGGTACAGCCCTTTCTCCTTCAGCCGCTCAATCACAACGCGCCGCGCCGTGAACCGGTGCATCCCCTGCACGGGCGGGAGGTGGGGAGAGGAGGGCGGAGATGTGTGTGTGTGTGCGCGCGTGTGTGCGTGCGTGTGAGTGAGTGAGCGTGTGTGTGAGTGAGTGAGGAAGCGTACAAACACAGACACACAGACATACAGACACACAGACAGACACACAAATAAACATGAAGCTGAGACTTACGGAGAATTCGCCGCAGCCGGGCGCAATCTTGCCGTCCTTTGTGATCACGGTGATCATCGGCAGGTTGTTGCGCACACCGCACTGCAGTCCCACAAGCACAAGCACGCACGGAAACATCAACACACAATCGCACATGCACACATACACATGAACACACGAGCACGAACACGCACACGCACACGACCAAGCACGTGTGAGCAAATGGGTGCTGCGCTGTGAAACAGGACAACACGCCATGTCGTCCTTTGCCAGCTTGCAAAGTGGTTGCCTGCAAGCAAGCAAAAGCACACCAAACAAAGGCACCTCGAAATCGTTGGGGTCGTGTGCAGGGGTGATCTTGACGGCGCCGGTTCCAAACTCGCGGTCAACAAAGTCGTCCGCAACAATCACCAGCTCTCTGTAACAGAGGCAGCAGCAGGGGGGGGGGGTGTGTGTACGTGTGAGTGCGTGTGTGTGTGCGCGTGTGAATGAGTGCAGAATGAGGAATGCGGTGAAAAGGTGAAGCAAACACGCGAAGAAACCAACACACACACACAGACACACACAGACACACACACACAAACACACAACATCCCTCCCCCTCATACACACACGACAAATCACGAGTGCGGACCTGTCTGGGATGAAGGGGTGAAGGGCCGTCTTGCCGACGTAGCTCGCGTAGCGCGGGTCCTCGGGATGCACAGCAATGGCAACATCACCAAGCATCGTCTCCGGCCGCGTTGTGGCCACGACAATCTCGTCGTCGCCGCCCTTGAGCTTGTAGGCAAAGGAGGTGATGACACCAACTTCGACCTTCTCGTCGAGACCGGGCACGGACACGAGCGTGCGGCCGGCAATGTCGACCTTGTCCACCTCAATCTCACTGATGGCCGAGTTGAGGTGGCAGCTCCAGTTGATGAGCTTCTTCTTGCGCATGATGATACCGTCCTCGTGCATGCGGATAAAGGCCTCCTTGACGGCGCGGCAGCAGCGGTCGGACATGGTGAACGCCTCGCGGTCCCAGTCGCACGACGCGCCGAGGTACTTGATCTGCTTGTAGATGAACCCGCCCTTCCTGCAGTGTTGCGGTGCGTGTGTGTGTGAGTGAGTGAGTGAGTGAGTGAGTGAGTGAGTGAGTGAGTGAGTGAGTGAGTGAGTGAGTGAGTGAGTGAGTGAGTGAGTGAGTGTGTGTTGTGTGTGAGTGAGTGAGTGCGTGTGTGGTTGTGTGATTGCACGTGTTCAATCGGACAAAGAATCATATGGTGCCCCTTCCCAAACAAGTTACACCACCAGCAAACAGACATCACCACCACCACCCCCTTCTCCACGGCAGCGTACTCTTCCTTCCACTGCCAGACGAGGTCAAGGAACTTCTCGCGGCCAAGGTCCTGCCGCCGCAGCTGCTTTTCCCGCCAAAGCTTCTTCTCAACCACAGACTGCGTGGCAATGCCTGAAATTTTTTACAATGCAATCGAGATGGTGGTGGTGGTGGAGGTGGTGGAGATGAGGCGCACGTGTGAATGTGATGGGCAATAAGTTCGGCCAAGAATTCGTTTAGTGGGGGCGTAGAGACTTGCGGTTGTTGGTATTGTGGCTGTTGGGTGATGGCGTTGGTTGATGCATGCAAGCATGTGGCAACGGTGAAGAGGCTGTGACGGATGACACGCGTTCGCGAATGTATTCACCAGCGTGGTCGCAGCCGGGGTTCCACAGGGTGCGCTTGCCGCACTGGCGGTTCCTGCGAGCCAAAACAGCGACAAGATGCACGCATGCACGCGTGATTTGTGTGTGTGTGTGAGAGAGAGAGTGTGTGTGTGCGCGTGTAAGAGTTTTGAGTGTGTGAGGTTGAGTGTAAGTGTGTGTGTGTGTGTGTGATCACCAACGCGTCCGTTGTGACCTCGCACAACAGTGTAAAATCAGCAACTCCAAACGTCCGTGCACACATGCACGCCAGCGGAACCGACCAGCGGGTGAGGGTGTCCTCGATGGAGTTGGTGAGGGCGTGACCCATATGGAGTGAGCCCGTGACGTTGGGAGGAGGAATCACGAGCGTGTACGACTTCTTCTCGCACGGGCAGGCAATCTTCTCGTGGCCCTGCTCGCGTTGCACAAGGGTGGTGGTTGGTGTTTGGGCGCGTGCAACATGGCAGCGTGAGAAAAACAAAAACAGTATGGGCGAGGGTGGTAATCAACGATGCAGGTACAGCAGGCGAAGGGTGTATGTACAGTGAGCGAAGAGTGAAGCGGTGTGCCAACAGCAATAAAGGAGCACTCCCTCCTCTCAACACACAATACAAACACACACGCACACCAATGCAAGCACACACACACACACACACACACACACACACACACCAATGCAAACACGCACTCGCGCATCATGCACATGTGTGTTTGCGTACCTCATTGTACTCGGGTTTGAAGAAGCCCTGCTTGGTCCACCACTCGTACCAGTCGCGCTGCACCATGTCAGGGTGATACTGGGAGGGCATGTCGTCCAGGTTCTTCTTCTCGCCGGGCTGCACGGGCTTGTACACGAACGTGTCTTCGGCCTTCTTCTTCTTCTTCTTCTTGTCCTTCTTCTTGCTGTCAGAGCCGGCGACGGCGGCCTGCTGCTCCTTCTGCTGCTGCTTCTTCAGGAACTTCTCCATCTTCTGGATCTTCTTCTTCTCCTTGGCGCTCAGCTCCTGCTTGGGATACAGCACAGCCAACTTGGTCTGCCGTGTGGTTGTGAGTGTGGGGGGGGGTTGTGTGTGTGAGTGTGTGAGAGAGAGAGAGAGTGTGTGTGTGTGTGTGTTGTGTTATGTTCTGTTATGAAGGCTGAACCACAAACAGGAAACACCATGACACGCATGCGTGTTCGCGCACTCGCTGCCGCTGTGCGACTCAACACACAAGTCACAGTCACGAGTTCTCTCTTCTCCTGCAAGCACACACACACACACACACACACACACACACACACCTGAACATCTTCGGAGGGCTTCTCCGCCGATGTCATGCCAAACACGGTCACGCGCTGTGCCATGATGAGGGATGGATGGATGGATGGATGGATGGATGGATGGATGGATGGATGGATGGATGGATGGATCTGTGGGTGAATGCGGCAGCACGAGAGCAAAATCCACGTGTGGAAAAGTCAAACTTGACTTTTACGCACAGAAAGGCAAAAGTGACGTCGTGTGTGTTCAAAAAGTCAATTTTGACTTCCAGCTCTCGTCCACTCTCACCAATATCGACAGCAGCAGCGTTCCACTCGCTTGTTTTTGTTTTCTCGTCTTCCTCCCCTGTCCATCAACGAGCAACCATGCCTGTGAGTGTGCGAGATGCCTGGTGTCGTGTTGTGTGTTGCATACGCTGTGATGTCTTGATCAGTGCATGAGTGAGTGAGTGGGCGAGTGAGTGAGTGAGTGAGTGAGTGAGTGAGTGAGTGAGTGGCTGTGCACGTATTGATTCTTCTTTGCTGCACACGCAAACACACACACAAACAACATACGACAGGCCTACAAGTCGGCGTACACCAAGCGGTTCACCCAGGCCGCCAAGCAAGGCGAGCAGCTTGGCTTCGAGACCATCGGCGGCATCCCACTCCTTCCCATCCATGCCCGCAACTCCAAGGGCCCCGCTCCCCGCCCCAGCCCAGATGGTGTGTTTGGTGTTCGCATGTATGTATGTGTGTGTGTGCTGTGTGTGTATGTGTGTGCGTGTGTGTGTGTGTTGTGTGTGTATGTGTGTGTGTGTGTGTTGTGTGTGTATGTGTGTGTGTGTGTGTTTGTGTGTGTGTGTGTGTGTGTGTGTGTGTGTGTGTGTGTGTGTTTGATGTCTACGTGTTCGTACGGTGTTGTTGGGCGTCTTCTCCCTTCCCCTCCCTCGCTTCCCTTCCCCTGCATCACCTTCTCTTTAACTCTTATTTTGAACGCGGCTCCTTTGCACTGCACAGAGACCACGGACATCATCGACGAGACCATCCGCTTCTTCCGCGCAAACGTCTTCTTCGCATCCTACAAGATCGACGTGAGAGCAGCCTCCTGTGTGTGCGTATGTGTATGTGTGTGTTTGTGTGTGTGCACATGTGTCTGTGCGCGCCGCATTTCCTCTTGCCAAACAGTCAAAACGCCCCCCTCACTCCTCTCTGTTCCACATCGTCAACAACACTACAGGCCGCGCCCGACAGGCTGATGGTGTACCTCACCCTCTTCTGCCACCAGTGCGTCATGCGCCTGGCCAAGGTACCGTACCATCAACACCACTGCGTGCATCCCCGCAAAGGGTTTACACATGTTCGTGTTTGTTCGAACATCACGTCATCGCGCTCGGCGCGCCATGGTGTGAAGCGACTCACGCATGCGTGCTTGCTTGCTTACGTTTTTGTGTGCTTCCCATTGCCAGGCAAAGACAAAGGACGATGCTGCCCGCGAGATGTACCAGCTCGGCATCGAGAACTTCACCGTACGTGGCTCGATGCTCTGTGCTGTGTGTATGTATGTACTTGTGTATGTGTATGTATGTGTGTGTGTGTTCTGTGTGTGTGTGTGTGTATGTGTGTGTGTTGGTTCCACTTTGCGATTGGTGTCATGTTGCAAAGTGTCGTGTGCACTGTGCACGTTGCATCCACGCATTACCTCATTGCTCGCACGCCCCGAACTTGCGTGTGCTTGCGTGTGCTTGCGCTTGCGTGTACTTGCGTGTGCGTGTGTGTACAGCTCCCCACAGATGCTGGCTTCCAGCTTAAGGGCTTCTTTGAGAAGCTCGACCAGAAGTCGTCCCAAGGTGCGCACGCGCCATGGTGTCTGTGTGTATTTATTGTGTGTATTGATTGTGTGTGTTGATTGTGTGTGTTGATTGTGTGTGTGTGTGTGTACGTGTGCGTGCGTGTGCGTGTGTGCGTGCGTGCGTGCGTGTGTGTGCGTGTGTGCGTGTGTGTGTGTGTGTGTGTGTGTGATTCTATGGATTCAATGTTACATTGCATCCTCTTCCGCGCACCTCATTTCTTGCATCCTCCACTCTCAATTCAACACGTTTTCCAGACAAGCTGCGCGCGTATCTGCAGCAGTGCCGCCAGGAGCTCTCTGCCCGCATGGCCGAGGTCGTCCTCGACGCGTCCGGCAAGCCATCAAAGGTACACACACACACACACACGCACGCACACACACACACACACACACACACACACACACACACACACACATACACGAATGCGGATGCACACGGGGCATACTATGTGTGTGTGTGTATGTGTGTGTGTGAATGGGAATAAAATGAGATGATTTGGGTGTTTGCCCCCTTCCCTTGCCCTGTCTTGCATTTGCATTGCCTTACCTTGCATCGCTCGCAACCCCGCCTCCACCCTCATTGCCCTCTCGTCTCGCACCACCGCCACCCTTGACTGTCTTGCTTCCTTCCCACATCAGTGGTGGACGTGCTTTGCCAAGCGCAAGTTCCTCGGCAAGGCGCTCGAGGGCCCCGGCTCGCGCTGAACCATCACATTCCCATTTCCATCCCATTGTGATCCCATCTCGTCCCACACCATCCCATCCCGTACGTTCGCCCACAACGTGTCGAGAAGCGTCAGTGCCTCACTCGCCCTCTCTCACATCGACATCCATCTTCCCATCTCTACGTTCCTTCCTCCCTTCACTTCCTCCTCTCTCTCCCCTTGGTTGATGTCTTCTTGGGTGTGATGTGAGTGCTCTCTTTGCGTCGCCGTGTCCTGTGCCTCTTTGTCTCCCTGTTACGCCCTCCAATCAACCAACAGACGAACCATCGTGTGATTGCTCTGACTTGTGTGTGTGTGTGTGTTGCATGTGCGTGTGTTGTGAATTGGGTTCAGTTCTGCGTCAAATCAAATACAAGAGCCAATTGTTCTCCTTTCACCACCACAAACACCAAACGTCGCACACGCATTGCCATTCACACACTCGACACCACAACCTCCAACCCCCCCCCCCCCACTCACCAACACCAGCACCATCTCAACCCCCAACCAGCCACACACACGCGCGCTCTCAATTTCTCCTCCGCACACCCAAGAGGGAAAAAAAGTTCACAAGAAGAAGCAAAGCAAGAAGGCAAGCAACCCGCTCTCTCGCTTCCATCCAAAGGCACGCAGTGAGTGATTCGACTCGCCTGGACTGGACTAGACTGGACTGGACTGGACTGGACTGGACTGGCTGTGCCCTCTTCGCTCGTCGTCCTTCAGGCACACGTCGCCGTCGCCGTCGTCTCTTCACCGCGTCCCTCCGTTTGGCGTATCGTTGCTCAACAACAAAGGTGCCCGTTTCGCGCCCAGTCGACACACGCGCGAGACCAAGCAAGGCGGCATATCAAATCGTGGCAACAACACGCCCGCACTGTTAATTATCACCCGCCTCAGTCCCGCCTCGTCAATCCTGCCGCGTCAGTGAGATAGACACACAGGCCACACGTGTACCATGACGGATGCGCCCAA